TATATATATATATGTATAATAAAAATTCATTTAGATACAACTCAATTCCTAAGTATTTACATACATAACACTTAAATTTTATTTTTACATTTATACCACTCAAATTCTTAATGTCAAATCAAAAATACAATTATTTTAACTTTTAAAAAGTTAAATACAGCGTTTCATTCATAGGTAAGGCGGTGTGTGTGTAGAAATTGAAGTTTAGGTGTTGATTATGTAAATAAATTGGAATTGTGTAAATCTTCCTAAAATGCAACCCAGATGTCGGATACGAACTCCAACTTCAAAATTTCCATTTGCAAAAGGAGTGCAGTGCAATGCATCATCAATGTCCTTGCACCCTGAGTCGAGCAACAGAATTAAGATCTTGCACCAAGAAAAAAATAAATAAACTGTATAGAAATGGCAAATTTAACAAGCTAAGCTACCAGGTGGGTCAACACTAAAAACCCTCAAATGCCGTAAATCCTTTCGATAAGGTTTAGCCAGATCTTCAGATGACAACGACCATGGAAGAGGTGGCAAGCAAGCAAGAACTTGCACTGAAAATGGCCTTGAATTTATATCATTTTCAATTAAAACTACCTGTTTCATCAAGCATGGTATCACGGCTTTGCAACAATTCTAATAAACTTTAGTAGCAGGATCCATGAGCAAAAGTAGCATCTTAAGACACAAGAAAACTTTCAAAGATTATCAAATAGTCAAGAGCCAATATATTACTCCGACTGTTTACCTGGGGTGGTCATTTTAGTCTATAAAAGTGTCAAATTATTCCCTAGGCTCTTTAAATTGGTGTTAAATAGTCCTCAGTGGGACTATTTCAGCCCAGATAAAAAGAGTTGGTGGCTAAATTGAAATTTTTATTGACTTTGGGACTAAAATGACTCTTTGTAGAGAGTCAAGAGGCTATTTGACACTTTTTTTCAATTATCAAATCTTAGTACATAGACTTTTATTTTTTACTTACCTCACTCTCAGTCTCTCTATCACCAATCTGTCCAATAGTTCTAACATAATGCCCGAATGGGTACCTAGATGAGCAATCCCACGAATCAACCGCAACAATGATTCTCTTATCCAGAAGATTTCCGAGCTGTCTAGTTTGAATGCGGATCTTAGGAATTCTACGATCTTTGGAGATAAATAAAGCATGGGCTACACCACCATTACCTGCAGGCAATGGCATTGGCTCCAAAGACCCACAATAACTGCAAGAAAGGTAATTAATAAACAAAGATCAATACATGGAAACCAAACCGTCATGCAACATGACTTATAGTAAAAGCTCAGAGTGTTAGGTTTATCAATACACGTTCTGGCTAACAATTTCAATGGAAAATAAGTAGATTTGTACTTACTGAGAATGCTAAATACTGTATGAACGAAATAATATATGGTCTCAATTACAATATTAATAAGACTTGCAACCTCATCATCATCATTAGCCTTAAACCAACTATTTGAGGTTAGGTTGATCAATGCTCATTCTGGCCTATGATATATAATTACCAAATGATGAGGTGTAAATTTTATTCTTAAATATTTTGCACACCTTCTAGAAATCATACATTAAGTCTAACCCTTTATCGATAGCCCTTCCACATTAAGTTTATCCATCCATTTTCTTGATGCACTTCTACCCCATCAATATCATCATCACCAATTAACCTAACCAGATTTTTGGAGTAAGCTTTATAAATCATTGTTCTACATTGCACTCCTATCAAAGGTTGCATGCACTTCTATCCTCTTTTTTTTAATCTCTTGACATTAATTTTATTTATCCACCATATCAATATATATTCAACTCTTTTTTGTATATACAAAAACAACATCAATTATTTTTCACTATTTTACCTTCATAAAAGATATGTATACTAGAGTTGTTACTTGTGTTCAAGCTGAAGAAGGATTGACCAAATATTTTCCAACTTCTGTTGGATTACATCAGGGAACGGCTTTAAGCCCATATCTTTTTGCTTTAGTTATGGATGGTCTTACTGGACATCTACAGGAGAATGTACCTTGGCGTATGTTTTTTGCTAATGATATCCTTCTCGTGGATAAAACGAGAGAAAAAAGCCCAGGAAAAACTTGAATTATGGAGGTCTACATTGGAGTCTAAAGGCCTTCATTTAAGTAGAACTAAAACTGAATACATAGAATGTAATTTTAGTAGTAATAGCTCTAGCGACAGAAATGTGACTTTGGATGATCAAATTATTAAAAGATGTGAACGATTTAGATATCTTGGGTCCTTTGTTCAAAGCGATGGTGATATAGATGGGGATGTTAATAGTAGAATTCAAGTTGGTTGGTTGAAGTGAAGGAATGCTTCGGGTCTTTTGTGTGATAGAAAAGTACCGCTTAGACTGAAAGGAAAATTTTATAAGACAGTGGTGAGACCTGCAATGCTATATGGCGCTGAATGTTAGCCTTTAAAAGAGAAGCATAATAATAAGTTAAGTGTTGCCGAGATGAGAATCATTAGGTGGATGAGTGGCTTTACACTTAAAGACAAAATGCGAAAAGAATATATCCATGATAGGGTTGGTGTAGCTCCTGTGACGGACAAAATTTGAGAAAGTCGTCTTAGATGGTTTGGTCAAATTAAACGTCGACCATCTGATGATCCGATTAGGAGAGTAGATGTTTTAGATTCGACTTGTGTTAAGAAAGGCAGAGGTGGAGCTAAGAAGACTTGGGCTTATTGTATTAAAGATGATCTTAATTTACTAGAACTAAATGAAAATATGACTCTAAATAAGATGCAATGGAGAAAAAAGAGTCATTTAGCCAACCCCACGTAGTGGGATTATGGCTTTGTTGTTGTTGTTGTTGTTGTTGTTGTATTTTACTTTCATAAATGCTACTCTCATTTTCCATTTAATATAATCATTTTTTAATTTATATTTCCTAGTTTTGCTAAACACCCATCCAAGCATGTTCACCCGCCCAACTTTGCAATTTTATAAAAAAAAATTTCAGCCTCTCTAACAATACTTGACTAAAGATAATTAAATGAAAGGAATTACAAAAATATTACTAAAGACGAGGTAGTGAAAAATAAACTTACATGATTTGAGCATATATAAAACAAAATAGAAGCGTGGCAATAGAAAAAATAGGCAAGTTAAAGCAAAAAAAGATTAAGAAGAAATATAAACCAAAAGTATTATGATAAAAAAATTTGTGTGAAGGGATATGAGGTCAATCATACAACAAATAGCACCCAAATTAGTGCATGGACAATTAGAATTCACAAACCTGACAACGGAAAGATGGGATAGTTTATAATGATGATGATGGTGCAGTACATAGCCGAGTATATGAACCACAAAAAATTATAGCTTTTTCTTTGACAACCATGCTCTTTCGAAACCCCTAACTTCCTTGTAATTTGTAAAAGTTTTAGTAGAACTTATATTATTCTTTAAGGAAATCATCATTTTATATTTATTATTCTTAAGGAAATCATCATTAGATTAATAATAGCTTATGCTTCCTCAAACAGCTGTTGTGTTTTCTCATTATGATCATCTTCTAAAATCCGATAAACCCCTAATGGCAAGATTCCTAATTTAACTAACCATCTTATATCAGAACAAATTTAGTCTGATTATAGAAACAAATTTCCCTATATGAACCCAGTTTGACAGATTAACTACTTACCTTTAGGGTTGTAGAAAATACACTTCGTTCATAACAGCTCGTATTCGATTTGTTCGTTATGCAAACGATTGAAACACAAACAATATTTTTTAGCTTGATTTATAAACGAACAAAATGAGAACAAACTTTTGTTCCATTGTGTTCGACTTGGTTCAAATTATTTAAATAATTAGTAAAAATTAAAATAGTGGCATTTTTAATATGATATGAAAATTTCAGTTTGTATAAATATAAAAAATAGGTGTTAGATATGTAAATACAAAAAAATTGGGTGGTTTTTATGTAAATGCACCTAGAATTTTTACAAATCAAGCATCAGCTATGTTTTTTTTTTTTTTTTATATTTTGGAGTTAAATGTGTAAATACATAAGACTCTGATGGCCATGTATGTAAATGCCCGTAGAAAACTTCCTCCAAATCCTGCTCCATCCCGCTCGACTGTAACTTGCCCTGCTATTTTTGCCCAAACAATGTGTTAAGACATAAGAATTGGGTGGCATGTACGTAAATGCCCCTAAAATTTGTCTTTGCCTGCCCCACATTGCCTCACCTGCAATCCCGCTTTAGTTAAATTGATTTTTTTGGTTTTTTTTTTTTTCCAGACCACCTTCTTTAATCTAATCCCACATTGGGAAGGATTTACTTTTTAGTGCTATTTAAATATTAAAATGAAGGAGGATATTCAAAAAAGTTACAGCGCACAGCAGTAAAAGCTATCTTGTTGGTTTTATAGAGCCGAACATGACCCTATTTGAGCAGATCGAACTGAACACAAATATTTTATACACGAGCTATTTCGAACACGAGCCTATTTCGAGCAAAAAATGAACAATTCAAACACGAACAAACAACTATTTTTTTTTCTCCAGTTGTTTCCCCATTTCCAGCCGCCTCCCTCCCTTCCCCGCCTCGTTGCCATCCTGCACAGCCACCTCTACCCTTTCCCAAGCTTCCCGCATCACTCTCAATCGCCAATCCTCGCTGTCGTCGTCCAAAAATTAGCAAATTTGTTATTTTCCTGTTGTCCAACCATCATTCTGACTTGCTACTGCCTAGACTGCAGCCTACTCTGTTGTCCCTGCAGTCCTCGCTCGCTATGTCCACACTAGACAATACCCTTCTTGTTGTCCTACAATCCACGGACCCCTTCACTGCCCCTTGCATTCCCATCCCTCCGCCAACACAGTTTCGGCCCCTATTTTCCTGTCCAAACCACCAACAACTCATTTCAACCCCGAACCACCTATCCAACCTCCACCACCCATGGATCAAACCCTAGTATGAGTTTGTCATATTTGTTATAATTTCCTTTTCAAGTGTGTTTGATTGCAACCGCATAATTGCTTTCAGTAATAATATTTGTTTTTCCTATAGTGGTTTCGGTTAAGTCCGACATCACCCTCACTGCTATCCCAGCCCTGCCCTCAATTGTCGCTTTCGTTCCATGCCTTCTGCTTCACCGTCGTTCCAGCCCCACTTTTGCTGTCCCAGCAACCCACAGCTCGTTTCAGCTCCTACCACACCACTCTCCGACCACCCAGCCAACCTCCACCACCCCCAAATCAAGCTCTAGCATGAGTTTGTGTCTTGTTTTGTTGTAATTTACTTTCAAGTGAGTTTATTTGTAATCATCTAATTGTTTTTAGTAATAACATTTGTTTTTCCTATTGTGGTTTGGGTTAACTCCGATATCAATCTATTTTGTGTGTCTTTCAACAATAGTCAAGAATAATATCAGCTAATCATTGTAAAAAAAAACATATGAGTATTAGCATTATGGAACCAGATTTTCTTCCTAAACTTACGAGCTCCAATTTCGCTTTATAATACCAATAACACGTCCATTTGGGCGACTTGTAACAGTAGGCGCGGATCCAGCAGAAACTTTTGCAAGATTAGCATTCCTTGGAGCATCATCAAAGCTGCTTGGAACCAAATGAATGTCATCTTCCTCATCTTCATCTAAAAATATCATGTTAAATGTAATTTAATAACAAATAAAATGGAAGAAGAATAATCATTAATAAGCATAAAAAACACACCATCATCCACAGCAAGCAAGGACTTCTCCACAGTCCACTGGTCTTGAGGCAAGAGCTCCACAGCAACAATATCTCCATCAAAAGCCCTATTCATGTTCACCCTACCATAAATCACTATCTCATCACCAACACTTTCGCTTCCAACATAAGCCTCAAATGGATTGTATCGGTTAACTCGAAGCTTTCCCTGATGGTAAATTCTATGGAGAAGGCCAGAAGTGATCTCCGACATAGGTTTGTGCTGTATCAAAGAAAGGCAATCCAAACATATTAGTTATAGATTTTCATTAAAAATGAAAACTTTGCTCAAGAAGAATAAAAACCAAAATTAGTCCTCCGACTATGAACAAGTGATCAATTTAATCTAGGACTTTAAAGTATTACACTTTAGTCCCAAACTATTAAAAATTGATCCAAATTGATCCCTCTATTAAATTTCATAGTTAAAAGTAACAACAGCCGTTAACTTCGAGGGCATTTCAGAAATAAGAATTTAAATAAAATTTTATTTTTATTATTACTCAATTTTGGTCGTAATAAAGTATTTATCTATTATGTAAAAAAAAATTTATCATTGCTCTATTTAAGTAATAAATTATTTTTATAATTTTATTTTGGGTATTGATAAAGCATTTAGATTCCTTAAGAGGGGTGACCATATTTAATTATTTAATTCATGAAATAATGAATTGCCCTCATTCATAAATTTAAATACTTTTTATATATTAAAGTAGGCAAATAAAAAAAAATTCATTTAAAATTTTATTCCTAAAATACCTCAAAGTTAATAGTTGGTGTTAACTTTAACCATGAAATTCAACTTAGGAACTAATTTGGATCAATTTTTAATAGTCTGAGACTAAAGTGGAGCATTTTAGAAGTCTAGGATTAAACTTATCACATGTTCATAGTTGGGGGACTACTTTGAGCTTTTGCTCGCTCCATAGTGTAACTTTTGGAAGATCACTAGACCTCAAGGTAGAAAACTTTTCGTTTCGATGGTCTTAGATCATCGACTTCTTCCTTTACAATGTCTAGAGCTGTCGGGATGACAACTAGGTCCAGTAAATTTGGCTGCTGAAGAGATCTTACATATGACTCCACTAAAAACATAAACATGTTCATTATGAGCTACAAGAAATACCAGACAAATTTTAGAACATTGCAACAACAAAAAATACCTGTTTCTGCAAAAAGTCCCTCTTCAATGGCTTTTTTCTTATTCTCTCTGTCATTGGTAATTAGTAATATTTGTGTGCTTCCACCTAAGTGGCTTTGATACCAATGAGCGGCAACCCGGATAGCTGAAAGACGGGCAAAGTGCTAATTTCTAAGAGTTATAATAAAACTTATAAAAAGTTAGAAAAACCAAAAAAAATTTTAACAATTGAGCCATGCATAAATTACATATAGATAGTCGAGGAGGTCTTCAAAAATGAAAGGAATCCGCGACAAACTATATCAATCTCCTTGGTGCTATTCAATGAGGACTACCTCTAAAATGTATAGAAAAATAACAAAAAACCAAGAAAAAAATAAATGAAAACTACATGTTAGAACTAAAAAAATGCGAACAATATGGAGGGCGGATACAGGTAAGGGGTAGACCCAGGTAGGTTACAAATTCACATGGCATGCCTGATGTAAACTAAATTTTCAAAGGGGCATTTACATGCATACCATCCAATTCTTATGTATTTACATATCTAACAGCTAAATTTTATTTTTTTACATTATACCACCCAAATTTTTTATATAGCATCAAAATTACCACTATTTTGACTTTAAAACATTGAAATATATCTTTTAACGCTTCGGCTAGGTAGCAAATATGTAAAAAATAATTTTTAGGTGTTAGATATGTAAATCTTCCTTCTAAAAATGGTAGGTTCATACCAATAGCATTAGGGTGTCATAGTCAAAATTCTAAAAATGATGATAATAAGTTTACAATTATTACAAATAATATGTTGCAACTTATTGTATATTGTATTTTAAAATTTAGTTTAACTTATTCTTCCTTCTCTGTTCTTACAAGTTGTGTGCGCCTACAATGATATAGATGTAATAATAATTATTTTGTTTTTGCAATTTTGCATGTGCCCATGCAAATAAATTGATGGTTGTGCTTTTAATTAAATAATTTAACTCGTGCATATATGTGATTATAGCATAAATGTAAAAATCTCACTCTAACCCAAGCACGTCTAAAGCTTTCAAATGTATTAACCAAAAAAGAAACAAAGTTGTTCAAACCCACAAATGAAAATGGATTCTTATAGAATTTTGTGACATAATTAAAATAAATATATTTCTATTAGAGAAGGAAACAGAAAGCAACAACAACAACAACAAAAGCTCCACTTATCTTCAACAGCTTAACTTTCCAAAAAGCAATTGTCATTTGCTTAGTAAATTAACTAAGAAAATCACCACTTTGCGTAAGCACGTTTTATATGCTAAATAGCTTCTAATTCTATGTCAAAGTATAATGACTGTTTTTGATGGAGCATAATAAAAACACAGCAATAGTCATACAAAATAACCTATTTATAGTGTGGAACAAATGTAAAATGTGAAGATGGCAATATGGATAAATTTAAAAGGTTTATGCAAAAGATTATAGCATCAAAAGTGTGAAAATTTGACTAATTAATATACTTCTTGGGAAAATGAAATAAGGTAGCTTGTGCAAGAATAACACAAAAACTAGTGTGCCAATTGAGTGAAGGAGAAAAAACAGAAGAGGAATATGCAAGGAATAAAACGAACTAAATGTAAACAACATGGAAAATTGAGTCAACAGCACATGCATGTCAACAAGATTGTATAGCAAAGCATGATACATAAAGCTTGTACCAAATAATTGGGGCTAATGATAGTGATAATTGTGGGGTAAACCTTACCTTTTTTTTTTTTTTTTTTTGGAAAATTGTATGTAAGGGTGTTAAGGCTCGTCACAACACCATAACTGGAATTCAAACAAATTCAAAAATTGCAAGTTTGGGTTAGCCCATTTTGCATTTCGGTTCGAGGAGAGATCAAGTGAATTTTCAAATGAGCCAACCTAAACTTCAAAATGAAGAGTTTGATTTCAAATTGAGTCAAGTCACAAGCGAAAAGCTTTTGAACTAGATCAATTAAAGTCAACTAATTGTATAAAATATTATACTCAGTACTCCAAAAGTGTTATTTATATAAAGGTTGTGCATGTGTTCACACAAACACAAATATGTGCATTTATCATATATCAGATCAATTTTGACTTGAAAAGAAAAAAATTCAAAAGAGACATTTTTGAATAAGAGCACGTCAATTTTGAAATTAATTCAATTAGAATTGAATGGATTAGTGGACCATTTTTAGGTTACAAACATAATTACCAACCCCAAACCAAATCAAAAAGTGAGCATCAATCAAGAGACCCCAAAAAGCTTAAATTGTGTTAGGTTGACTTCGTCAAAACCTAAACATAACACATTTAACAGGAGGTACCTTTCATCCTGCCCATAAAAACCTAAAACAAAAAGTTCTTTTTTATTGTTTTTTGGGTTGGTGTGCATAAATTGAGTTATTACATCCATTAAGTATCGTGTTAGTGCTAATAGAGTTGTTTAATCGTCATATCAGTTCAAGACTGACGCAAAAATTCGGTAATTATATCCATTAAGTTGGGTGTTAATACTAACTAAGCTATTTAATACAATAATCTAGGCATGCTTGGGTTTCATTGTGCAAGGTTAAGGTTGAACTTTCCACCCATTTGATAAAACTATCCAAGTGCAGGTTTCCTTCAAAAAGAGTAGGTTCAATTTGACGACAAACTAGAACCTGGAACCATTTATACAAATAGACATGCCAAACTATATGTCATGTGGGTGGTTTGCAGTTAGGTGGATCGAGTTGAGTTTGGGTTTAATCATGATAATTTCGGGTAGAACTTTTTAACATGATTAAGAAATCTATTGGAATTGGGTAGTCGCCAATTGAGTTATTTTGGGCAACACAGCACATTAAAATGAAGGGACTTTTATATGCATACCACCGAATTCCTATATACTTACATATCTAACACCTAAGCTTTAGTATTTACAGTTATACTACCCAAATCTTTCATGTTCCACAAAAATACTACTATATCTTTTTGTACATAGGTAAGGTGGCATGTATGTAAAACTTGAAGTTTACGTTTTAAATACGTAAATACATAAGAATTGAGTGAGCATTATGCAAGTAAATCTTCCTAAAATGAATTGTATGTGGGTAGTTTCGAGAAAAGGGTGCTCGTGAAGATATTTTATGTAACGTTTACAAGTACCTAACTCCACTCCTCAAGCTTTCCCTTATTTTGTGTCTTTTGAAGAGGTCATCCAAAAGCTGAGGAATAGTGCTCGAGCTCAACTCCCACTTGCATGTATTTATTGTCAAGCTATTTATCAATGTTGGACAGCTCGGCTTGCTAAGAAGCATGGGCGTACCTATACCACTCCTACTATATTGCGGCTACGGTCCTGGAAAACCCAATATAAACCCCCCCCCCCCCCCCTCCAGAATGGATCAAGATGAATGTAGACGGTACGCTTATCCCGAACCATAGGGCCGATGTTGAGCTTATCATAAGGGATGAAACGAGAAAGGTGTTGAATGCCATGGGATGTCACTTACAACACTGGGATAGTGGGATTGTAGAACTCCAAGCCATCCTTTTGCTCGAGCATATCATCCAACCTTTGATGTTAGAAGCCAAGGGTGTCATCATTAAAGTTGATAATATCAACGTCATCAACTACATGAGCAGCTTCCTAACTCAAAAGGTTTGGAGAGTGAATCTCAGAGTCATACTTTTGTTTTCTCTTTTCCTTTAGACAAGTTAGTTTTCATTTTGTTCCTTGGAAGCTTAATAAAACTACCCATTTTTGTGCCCAAAGGACTATTTTACATAGTTTTTCTTTTGATATAGTCCCTGAATCATCCAAACTTTATGTCAACCTCCGCGAGGATAGGGACACTTTTGCACAGGTCTGAGGACCTGGTTTTTTTACTCTTTGTACTCATTTTTATATTCAATGCAATATGCACATCCTTCAAAGATTATAAACTTCTTTCTTCCATAAAGAAATCAAGATCTTATCATGAATATAGTTAGATAGAGAAGTGAATGTGTGTGTGTGTGTGTGTGTGTGTGAAAATCTTATAGAGCATAGTGAGAGTGAAGTTTCATCTTCAAAGTGTCTACATGGCGCACTTCCTCTATGCATAGGTCAAGCTAACTGCTTATAATTTATTTAATAATTATGTTATAAATAATACTATATGCCTTCATGCGTTCTCATGAGTGCTATTATTGCTAATAGGCTAATAAAAAGCAAACCTCTGTCATTTCTGTCATTTGGGCTCTCCCCAACCATCTCTTTGACATAAGTATCCCTGAATTAGACGGGAAGAAGAGAATTTTATCAGATTCATGCATTTCTTCACATTAAATTGCAATTTAGATAAAACTAAAAACGAAGGAAAAAAAAAGGTTGGTCAGTAAGGAAACCATATTTCAATCAGTGACACGGGAAATTGTAAATAAAAATTGCTCGAAAAATTAGAAAATGAAAGTATGCACTCAGCCGTTATATATGAAAAGATTTACACTATCAATAAAACCAGAAGCAAGCACTTACCTGTGATGCTCATTCGAGAAAACGAAAAAATTCTTCATCGCATCGGTGCAGAGAGTCTTGATCCTATTGTACACCCCCGCATTTTTGTTTCTAACCTCCTCCAGAACCACCGAGAGCACGACGACATTCTTTATCGCTGGATTCTCAAGCAAATCGATCTGAAAAAAAATAATAATAATAATACAAACCACCAGAAATAAAGAACGGAAACATCCTCCGTGAAATTCCCAAAAGTACCTGATGGAGCACAACGTTGGTGTCGATGATTAGGATTGTAGAGGCAGCAGAGCTAAGCCGAGCAGAGGAAGCGTCGCAGACCTTACATATCACAGCGCCACAGTAGATGTCATCCCTGAGGTAGTGTTCTCTTACGACCTTTGAGATGCTCGGAGTTAGAGCTAGGTAGGGAATTTTTTCGAAATAGAATAAAAGAAGGGCGACGCACCTTGATGACTCTTCCCTGCTTCGTCTTCTTCACGAACGATTTGCTCTGCAACATGGTTTAGTTGGCGGGTGGCGCGAATCGAGCAAAGCGAGAATAGGGGAGGAAGAGGATGACGAGGGTTTTGTTGTTGATTTTGTTTTCGGACCAGACACGTGGGGTTGGAGCGCACGTGCCAGCCTAATTGTTGTCGCTGGATCGGAGGGATCTTTCTTTTAATTGAAATATTTTTGTTATATTAGAAGTCCCGATTTTATGGCCGGGCAATCGCCAATTTATAATTACAATAAGGATACCAAGATAAATGTACATTGCAGTATATATATATAATTTTCATCATTCAGCACGAATCTTGAAGTATAACACAAATTTCAATATGATATTTTAAGCAAGAAACATTTAAATCTTGATAAAAAGTCATTCGAGCCCTTATTCTAGCAAACTTATAATCAAACTGACCGACTAGATGAGACGAACCTAATTATATAAAAACTAATCAAATTCGAGTCAAATCAAGCTCAGATCAAGTCATTAAATCATCCTTAGAAGATGTCTGGACACATTTGGAAGGTTAAGCAGATGTCGACACTGGTATATTTATACTAGAATCGAGCGGCTCGACAAGACGAATCCAACGAGCCCCATATCACTCAATTCCGACATCGTTAAGGCACTCAAATGTCCATTAAATGCGGCATAATTGAAGGAAACTCTCTAGACCGTCCGATCAAAATGATTGATATTCATGCATTAATTGCATCCAGAATACTATAAATAGACATCCACCCCTCACATGAAAGGGGGCTGGAAGCTTCAGAGAGAACTGGAAGCTCTAAGAAGGAGCTGAAGTTCAGCACCATCCCGACCTTCGTTGACCACTGTCGATCGTCATCGGCCACCACCGGGTCGTCGTCGACACTCGTTGATCGCCATCATCCATTGTCGACCGTCATTGTCGATCATCACCAATCATCATCGATCACCACCAATCAGACACCGTCAGTCATCGTCATGGGACATGAGCTCATCACTACGGTCTGTGTGTCAACAACGACCTACGTGGTTCACAGCTCGAGCAGCTCCCGACTCCGGCCCCTGTAGCCTACGGGACGTCATTCATACTCGCCACTACGGCCTATGTGGATCACATCTCCCGTAACTGCTTACTATGGTTTCTCTTGCAATCAACACTTCTGAAGCAGTCATCTACAACACTCACGTTGGGTTATTACCTCCACAGCAATCAACAATGATCATTGCAACATGTTGTCACCAAGAACTACAGCCCAATTATAGTTATACAACTTTGTAATTTCATCTTCCCTAATTTAGGGGAAGAATGAACATGTATACTCATCATTCATAGTGGATTATTTCAACTAGGCTAGACCCCGTGGTTTTTCCCTCTTTCAAAGGTTTTCCACGTAAAAAGTCGAGGTGTCTCCTTCTGCTTACTTCTCTTCTGTTATCTGTGTGTGTTGAATTCTCGTGCAAAGCTAAGACGCTAATTCATTCCTCTACCGCCACAAATTTTATGGCACGCATCATATATACATAACTTTCCAA